GGATAACAGTCTTATAAGACTGTTATCCAGTTGCATTATAAGACTGTTATCTAGTCCACACTTTAACAATATATATTTAGAGAATAATAAGAAAAAATACAATTATAAAGGTTAGTATATATTTGGATCAAATCTAAATATGCATTTAGAGAGGTGTATACTTATAGAGAGCACTTAGAAAGGTTTGATTATAATAAGAAAAAATACAATTATAAAGGTTAAATATATATTTGAACCAAATCTAAATATGTATTTAGAAAGAGTATACACTTATAAAGTGTGCACTTAGAAAGGTCTAACTATACTTAGTAATCTTTTCAAATATCTAATATGATCTTGGTTAAAAAAAATAGATCAGTAGTATATTTATAGTAACAACACAGGCAAATTTGCCTGTATTGGCCTACAATTAAAGAAATAATCTTAATTTTTTAAATATTTTGAATATTTGATAAATTAGCTATATTTTAAGCATGGTGGTATATGTGACTAGTGTTGGCACAGGGTAGCTTTGAACAAATTGTGAACAATTGTAAACAATTTTAAATAAAAAAGCAAATTTAAATTTTATTAAGATAACCTATTTTAATCTCTTAAACAAAAATATTTAAAACTAAAAAAATATGTACAGGTTACCCTCGTTAATATCAACCTATTTGAATTGGTTTTAAATCATGTTGATAGTGATATTAGCGAGAAATCATATTAAAGTTGATATATATGAGGGAATTTTGATATATAAAAATTTATAAAAATTTGTTTTGTGGCTTAGGTTGATATCAACGAGGTTGATATTAACGGGGGTAACCTGTAATATCTTTTTTAAACTAATTTATTAAATTTTAAAGCTTAAATATTCTTTGAACAATTGTGGACACTGTGAACGTTTGGACGTGAACATGGACAAAAAAAGTCTTGGACATAATAGACGTGACAACACTGTACGTGACTGTATATTTATCTTATTTATAATTTAGATATCATCTTCTATTCGATTACTCGTTCTATATTAAATATATGGGGTGAGTCAGTAGAAATCAAGCAAATTTTTTATAATAAAAATTTTTTTATAACCTAAAACAAGAATAACTTATAAACATAATCAAATTTAATAAAATAATTTTTTTGTAGAATTAATTTAAAAATTTTTTTACTAAACTCAATTAAGTTTTTATTAAGTTATTCTTGTTTAAAGTTTTAAAAAAACTTATTAAAAAATATTTGCTTGGTTTTATCGAATTTCTCCAGTATTCATACTCTTTTCGATATTTCCCTATGCTCATAATCTTCGGCTCTTCTTGTTTAAGTCGATTTTACTACATACTCACGTGACTATCTTATCAAAATTAGGTTTGATTGTCGGCAATACTAAACCATAGTGTATATTTGATGCCCGAATTTATAATTATTATTATCGTTATTAAAATTCATAATAAAATGGCAGTGTATGCTTTTGACAGCTCCCACGACGATTTAATACACGATGTTTCTTACGACTTTTATGGTAAACGTCTTGCAACCTGTTCTTCTGACCAAAAAATTAAAGTATGGGAATTCAATCAAGATACTAGCAGCTGGGAACTTGTTGACACCTGGAGAGTATGTTGTCTCCAACGCAAATAATGATTTGTACAGTCGGATTGCTTTAAGCTTTGGCAATGTTAGCGATTATTCTATACTAATAGGCGCACGAATGCTCGGTTTTAAAAGTTTGTTGGGCCCATCCCGAGTTTGGTCAAGTAATAGCGTCTTGTTCTTTTGACCGATCCGTACGAATTTGGGAGGAACAAGAACACGGTATGTTTTAATTATCTTTTCTTAAAATTAGTCAAATGATTATTTAATATTTTTTTTTAATGCGCAGAGCCAAGAAATAGTGGTAAACGATGGGCTTTGAAGGCGAGCTTAGTAGATAGTAGCGGTTCTGTAAAAGACATTGAATTCGCGCCCAATAATTGGGGTCTGAAATTAGTATGTATCCTTTAGACCTTTAACATTTAGTTAAATTGCTTCGATGATTTTAATATCATTAATTAATAGGCAACTGTTGCTGCTGATGGTGTACTCAGAATATACGAAGCTCTCGAAGTGAATAATTTAGCTGATTGGTCTATGATGGAGGAAGTAGAGATTATTACCCCTGGAACTGTTAATAAAGAGGCTGATGGAAACTATTGCCTTTCTTGGTGTCCCTGGAAACCACAAGTATCACCAATGATCGTTGTTGGTTGTGGAAAAGAGAATTGTGCTAAAGTTTGTAATAACACTTTGTAAATTATCTTCATTATGTTAGTATCAAAGTTATAACTTAACGAGCAAGAAGTGAAACCTAAATGACACGTTTACGTTGGCTATTAGATTTTCAGACCAAATCCACATAACAAATGGATACCGTTCGAGGTCCTTCATGGTCATGAAGATGCTATTCATGACGTTAGTTGGGCCCCTAATATGGGAAGGTACCTCATAGGTTCTCACTAGTAAATATTTTAAGTTTCGATTTTTATATCTTTAATAATCCTACCATCCATTAAGGAGTTATCACCTCATCGCAACCGCATCAAAAGATCATAAAGTTGGTATTTTCAAATTAACAAACAAACCAGATGGTTATTCCGTAGAAAATATCGCCATGCTTTCTGAACACGGTGTTGAGGTATGGACATTTGTAAAACCTAAAATTGTTATGTTTGTTATTATATTATATTTTTATATATATGTATACTTTTTTTAAAATTTTTTAAGGTTTGGAAAGTCGAATGGAATATAACTGGTACCATCTTGTCATCGTCTGGAGATGATGGAAAGGTTAGATTATGGAAAGGTAAGTTTCTTTATACATAACGTTTGAAACCATTATCTTCATTTTTGCACAATGATAATTATATTCTTACCAACTTCAAGCTTCTCATAATGGAGAATGGAAATGTATGAGTGTTATTAGTTACGAACGACAAGCCGACAATATGGATATGTAGGGACAGTTAGAGATGTAAAGTTAAATTGGGCTTGATTTAGGTTCTAAAACTTTTAGGTTTCAAATTAAAAAACCTAAGAACCGAGTTTTTATATATAAGTTCCGAATCTAAGTTTGGTTCATAACCAAGATTTACAACCTAATTCTCAATATTTTGTGTGATATAAGAAATAAAAATATATTAATGAAAAGTTACTTAATTCATTTCAAACTTTTAATCTATATATTTTCTGATCTTCCGAATACCTTTATTTAATAGGCTAATATTGATTTATTTAATAAAATTTTGGCTTTTTACACTGTATGATAAAAGGGAGCTCATATAACATCGAAGTTGACATGAGGTCTATTAAGTAGAGTTGAATGATTCTATACCATTCAATTTGTTTCACCAAGATGAGTCGAAGAATATAAATATTCATATAAATGACTTTTTATTCATATAGAGCGAGTAGACACCGGCACTCTTTGAAGCTAGAAGCAATATTTGTAACCATTCTTCTCAGTTTGTGTAATTACAGCATATCTGGATATGGCATTAAAAAGTATATATCTAAATAGAGTTTTGAGCCGGTTTTATTTTTCATATGTTAAAACCGATTAAACCTAGTTTTAACATATTTGATATATTAGTTATCGTTATATACCGGACTATTGATTTATACCAGCCAATCAGACAAACTTCTGCTCATGAATTTGACATGAGAATTTTGTTATCTCCGATTAATATCTAACGCCGATACTCTACGTATGTCATTTGTGAAACGGATGACTTGCTCACGCGAAGTTCGACATAAAACATTACTGTATTATGTGCTGGCATTGTCAAAAACGTCTGCTAATAAAGTTGGTACACTTGATTTAACTTGATCTGAAAACGTTTGTATGAAGGGTATATTTCTAAAAAATTATATGTGGCTTTAATTAGGATTAAAAATTCTATTGTAAAAAATAATATAAAAAATTCGTGTAACCGTACTTTTTCAATCGACCAATAAAACAAATTTCTACATGCTAAGCCAGCTAAGCAGATTTTTTTATACAATATCAACTTAGTTAAGAACCCTACTAACAACTATGTCATAAATAATGACCTCGAAAATTATAAAAAGTTTAGTCACTTTCTTTGTGTATAGTGTATTATTAATATTTCATACTGAAGCAGTTTCATGGTTTCAAACTGCGAGATATACATCGAGTTCTCTTTACTCGGTCGATAATATTGGTTTAAACGATATAAGTGGAACTGTAGTAGCTTTCGCAGATTTCAATTCAGATAAATAGTAAGTGATTTCCTTTCAAATTCCTTGTCAATTATTATAAATTAAATTCAAATAATTCTTTATAATTAGCACAGATTTAATAGTTTTAAGTGCTGATCAAACAACTATCAGCATTTACCTTTGGGATCATGGTATTAATTTAATTAATTTCGCTTTTTTTCGAGTGCCGTCAATGTCAATTTAGTCACATTTCTTTTTTATTATGTTAATAGACTCCTACAGATTTACTAAGGCGCCATCAGCAGACATAAAAATATCTACTGACGGAAATAATGCAGGCTTCTTAATTACAAACGTATTACCAGGAGATTATAATTATGACGGTATCTTGGATCTTTTGGTTATGGGTCAAGTGAGCCCGGGCGACTCTTCTAAACAACTTTATATGCGCGTTTATATGGGTATTGGAAATAGTACATTTGGTGAGTTTTTACCGAGTGCTGATATCGAGTAAGATTTATTATTCATTAATGTATTAATGTTAAGAGGTGTTAAGAGATATATTTTAATTATGTTTGTAATTTAATAGACCCTAATTATTACAATGTTCCCTCATCTACCGCACAGCAACCTATTCCACTCGATTTTTATGGAAAGATGAAGGTTGATTTACTTGGGCATCAATTTGGTGATAGTTCACATATTTCAATATGGAAAAATGTATTCAATGCAACAACCAGAACATTATTCGAAGTGTGAGGATCCTATTTGTTTCTTGTAGTTTATTATTTTAATATTTTAATTATTTTAATATTTTAATAATTTTGAAATTGTTATAATTCCTAAGAGTTCCAATGCCAGTGAACGGTGCATCTCAAAATTGTACAATATCAGATCCACATTCGAATGCTTTTATAGATCTTAACGGCGATTGTTTGGCCGGTATGCATTAATTAGATGTCGTGGATAATAAAATTCGATTTAAATTAGAATTCATTATACTATATTTATTTTATTTTCTAGATTTGTTCCTCACGTGCAGGGAGAGTTCTAGTGCACCATTAACATATCAAATATGGACAAATATAAAGGGAGGGTTTACATTTAGTCAGTCTGGAAATTTGCCGGATGGAACAGGGCAAATATCTTTCGCAGATATGGGTTAGTACCTCAATAAAAGCAAAATCTTATTGGAATTTATATTAAATTATTTGAAAATTCTTTAGACGGAGATGGAACGATAGACATGGTTTATCCGGTCTGTTCTGGTGGCACCTGTAAAATTCATATTGCATATAACAAACAAATACCATTGTGTACTGGTTCAGAAAGTGGATGTCGTCAATCAACAAACTTATGCGTTGTGGATAACAATTTTTCCTTTAATATACAAACATCTTCAAATCAAGTATGATTATTCTGTTATGAACTATGATATTTCAAATTTCGTTTTAACATAATGATAACATTAATTTCTTTTGTATTTTAAACAGACATATTCTATAATAGATATCTCGAACGAATTACCAGATGATGGAGTTATCGTAACAAAAGAAGGAAATTTACCCATTCCGATTCGAATCGGTAGATTAGCATTTACATAATATTTCATATTTGCATCGCATTCATATTAATCTTTGTTTAATAATTCTTTCAGGGGATTATAATTTTGATGGATATCCTGATATTCTTGTAATTAGTTCATCTGGTTCTACATATCGAGCATCATTATTTCAGTCAGTCCCTTGCACAAATCAAAAATGTAATTCATTGGAAGTTGAGTCTCAAAGGCGTACATTTACCAGAGTTGTAGATGGAGCCTCGGCCCTAAATGACATCACAGACGCTAGATCCGCTGCATTTATGGATCTTGATGAAGATGTAAATACCTGAAATCTATTATTGAATTATATTAGATGATATCGTTTTAACCTTCATGTTTTACAGGGAACATTGGATATTTTGGTTTTAAAATCAGCATCGTCGACTTATAAAAGAGTTAATATGATTCACAATAATTATTTCAATGACGCGTTCTTTGTTAAGACTTTAAGTACGTAAGAATATCAGTTTATATACATTTTACTTTGATGCTGCACATGAATTGAACTAATTAATTTGCTTTATAAAGTGCTAAACGGAGTTGCAGAGAAACAGGTACGATATCTCTACCTTGCTATATGTATTACTTTTAAATATCTACTACTTGCTTACGCATCCTTGTGCTAAAATGACAGGGATATGGTGTAAGCTATTCCGGTGCATCATACAAATTTACCATTCTTGATACGTCGGGAATTTTGAGAGCAAACCAAGGTGCTTGTCCATTTAATTTCTGAAATTTTAAAAAGTGAACTAACGAAATAATTGTATTTGGAAAATCTTTAGTTGCACAATATCCTCAAAGTGCATATCAAGCTTTACAAACACCTTATTCACTTTTTGGTCTTGGGCGTACAAACAATTATGTCGAATTATTATTTACTGGATCTACACGTAATCAGGTCTTTATCATGATATTATTGTTTAAGCGAAGACCTATTCCATATATTTATCTAACAAAAAAATAAAATTTTACGTATAATAGACTTTATACTATACATCATTTTCTGGTGTGATTCCAAATTCTCAGTTGATCATTATACCTTATCAACCTCCGGGTTTTTTTGATCCTTCTTCGTAAGTCTATGTTTCTTATATGTTTTCGATATGATAATGTATGTAGTATTTCGAGAAATATAATAATATTTTTGATTGCAGTTGGAAGCTGGAATTATTTATTCATCCGGGTGACTGGATACCATGGGTATTATTAGTATTAGTAATATCTACGGTTGTTATGGCGATCATTATATTTA